TTTGTTATTTGTGATAAAAAGAGGAAACTGGTGGTGATAAGGTTAAACAAAAATGGCCAAAGAGAACTCGTCAAGAGCGAGAGAGCAACGAGATTTGTCCACCTTGAAATAACGTTTCAGCTATCCCATCATCTCATTTACTGTTCTATTGGTCTATTATAACCCATGGTATTTGGAACAGTGGATATAAAGGCAGGGGAGAATGGGACACTTCTGAGGGCGAAATCAGGTCACGCGGTGCTCTCGCTCTCACCGAGAACTCGGTGGCCATTTGGTCCTAATGTGGCGTTGTAACGTGGCGTTGAATATGAATTATGTTTAGAATACTTCTCTCGATAAAAATGTCAATATGACTATTTCTCACCATCTTTTTACGTTTCTTTTGTTCTACAAAGTAATATAAAAACAAACATTATTTGTGATTTTTAAAGTGAATTAATAAATCAAGAAACGGTGAATAATGGAATATAAAATGTTTTATGTTAGTTGTTCACGTTTAAGGCAAATATAGAATATACCATCACAAAACTGTCCTGAAAATCCTGGCTTGCAATCACAGTAACATGTTGAGCCTACAGATACCACGGTACCCTTGCTTGGCGGACACCATGCAGTAGAAGTGCAGTCTAAAAAATAAAATAACATTGGAGAGAATGTCATTGGTCAATAGTCTCGAATGACACTTCAGTACTATGAATGATTGGCACCTATTTACATCCCAGTGGGGTTTTGTGCAAAACAATATTTGCATACACCAATAGATAGATCAGTCATTTATATTAATAAACAGTCTGATATATATTTAACGACAACTAATATAATGCGTTCACGCGAAGTATCGCCAACCAGGATTGTTTTTCGAAAGTTTTTATATCGTTGTCACGAGAACAACAAACAGGAAACCAACTCACCAAATTCGCACAAACCGATTCGTCCACCGGCCCAATTACATGGAATAGACTTCCATTCATAAGCAAAGTCTTCTCTGTAAAAGAAACAAAAATGACTGGCTGGTCAGACTTCATAAATTGTCATTAGATACAACCTATGCACTTTACTACACACCCGGTTTAAAAGCTTACTAGTACCCATAATCCTATGCGATTTGTATTAACATAATGAATGTTCAAATTTAGTAAATATCACTAGTACACATCCATCTGTTGATATGCATTCTGAATTAGTTTAATGTTTTACTAGAGTAGTGGTATTTTCTGTCAACAGTAATAACTAAACTTAGTTATTTAAGAATTATATAGTATTGTTAAAAACGAAGGAAATCTCCTTGTCTTTAAAAGGACGAAACACAGAAATATGCATATTAGCTCCCAGGTGATGAGAGCGAGTACTTATGTTGGTGAATTTAAGCATTTAAGAACCTCTATAAATTGTCTTTCGCGAGACATTCTGATCACAGATTGAAGAAAAAAGTACTTGAAAAAAAAATACAGCAGACTTCATGGGAATTTATTAGGGTCTAAAACGGTAAGCTGATAAAACGTTTCAGAGAAATCAATGTCAATTAAAACAACTCTGAGAATTATGAGCTATTTACATTTTCTGTGCCCTACCTTATAGTGACACACGTTTCAGTGTATATATTAGGCGTGTTCTTGAAATTGAAAAAGAGTTGGTTTCCATACTCGTTCAACCACAAACCACTCTCACCAGCCTTCGTTAAGCCGAAATAGATCCGATTGTCCGGTGGAGATGCAGTTTGGAGATAGTCGGCAACTCGTTGCTGGTCAGCGGCACTGTTGATAAGAGCTAGCCGTCCCTGATGTGATTCGCAGTCAGCTTTGACTGTATCATATTTGCCAGCAACGGTTAGACTTAGCATAGTGTCTGTACGCACTGCAAAAAGTAGTTTATATAGATATTGACTATGAGTCGAAGCACCGCTGTAATGTATGCCGAAATTACAAAGATTTGTGGAAGAAATAATGTTATCAATATTGTTACTGAATACAACATACAATGAGAAAGGGCATTACCCAAGTGGCATTGCGATTAACACTTCTAATAACCCTGGACTCACTCCAAGTATGTACTACATACTGGACATGAAAAAAACTCAACTCATTATGGGATGCCTATTATATCTAAAACCAACCCCTTATATTATAAATGGAATGGTCTAGTAAGTATATAGATGACTACTAATGACGTCAGTGAAGGATAATATTCAGCACATTAATACCCTGAAACAAAACAATCCACCTCATTCATTGGCAAATCAGCTAGCTTACAAACATGGCTCAAACTATCTACTGAAGCAACCAACATCGTTTTGTACAGTCACGTAGTCAAGGTATACATTCCCTAGTATTTAGTTATCAAGAATGCTCACAATACCGTGTTCATTTGTAAATGCAAAAGAAAGCAGAGAATCATGGGTATTTGTCAGGTAACTTAACTGGATATTTACTTATGCGCTTTCCCGTTAATGAACTGTATATATTACCTGTGCAGAACTCCCCTGACCAGGTATAGTCACACTCGCAATGGCATCCGACTGTATCGTTAACAATACTACCATGGATACACCATGACGAACCCTGGTCACATCCTATGGTAAAACATAATATAATGTTAATAAACACTAATATCAACAGGTATACTCCAAACAATGACATTTGCGGCTTACTTTACAAAATCCTGGCCAGGTTGAACATTTATACCAAAATACAATAAAATACAATACAATACATCTGTAGAAATCTGTATGCTAAATGACTTATGGTACAATACACGCTTAGTAAATATAAATACAAATAACGTTGAATAGTTATACTCACTGAACTCGCATATATACTCTTTCTTAAAAGTACAAGTAACACCAAACATTTGCCAAGTTGTATCAAACCTAGTTTTTATGTAAATAGAATAAATCTTTTAGAAGCACGATTACTTAAATATGGAGAGCCAGTGACGTAATACAGTGCATCGTGGTTTAAATAAAAACATATGTATATCTATATGTGTAGCTTATTGGTTCATTCATAGTAATTTATCTATTCGACTTTTCGGAAACACTCACTTTATAGCGCCACATTCCTTATCTTTCGGGTGTTCATTCTTCCATGTTGTAAACCCGCTTTGTGGAGTGGAATCATCGGACATCCATATCCCATCTTTTTCGAACAATCCTACCCACACATCATTTACTAGCTCGTTATCGGTAGCAACATCGCCGACATTTTGGAGCATGCCCGGCGATTGGACGGTGGCTAAACCTCCACCGAGGTCGCTACAGATTTGCTTTGCATCGTAAAACTCTTCGGTCACACTGACGGCCTTGTAATACATAGGAGGTGGGACGATAGGTTCTGTAACCAAGAAGAAAGTTGTTACACATATCCTAGTGCACTTGTCACTACGTAGCTGACTAATTAAGACGGGAAAAAATCAATACTACTGTATTCAGCCCTGTACATGTGACGTCACATATTAGTGAATATTAATACAAAGCCAACAAAATTTGCTAATTATTATTTCGATAACCAATTACATGTAATACTCACGTAAACAGAATGGACCTTCCCAGCCAGCGTCGCACACGCATTCACACGTCAAAGCATTTTCATTCACAACGATATCGCCGTTGTGGCACCAACTCGATGCACCTGGAATGCAATCTGCGTGGAAATAAAAAATGCATATTAGTTTAATTAATTAATTATAACTTACCACATAATTATATGAATTACAAGAATTTTAATGATTGTATGAATACATTTTTGAGCATTTAAGTTCGTAACCTGTTTGATTGAATCACATTTTGAATCAATAACTTTGATTTGTTTTGTATTGTTTCCCCTTTTCACAAGTGTATACTTAATGAAAACAAATTACACTACAACGTTTAACCTACACACCACAAAACAATGGTTTTGTACTATGATCTCGATTAACCTAGGCCGGGGTACGTAGCACCACAGAATTGAAAACAAACAAATAATACTTTAATCGTAATTTCCGGGCAAACTTTTACATCTGCGTTGTGCTGTTGAATAAACAAAACCAATGTGAAAATGCACCGTGATAACCATTATTACTTACCAAATTCACATATATGGAAACGTCCGTAATACAGAGTACAATCATCTGACTGCCACTTATTGTCTGTAATCCTGAAAATCAACAATTATATTTTATTTAGTGTCCTCAAAAAAACATCAATCTATCACAGGGGAAATCAGTAACCATCTACTCCGTGAAGTTCACAGCCATTCAATCAAGTCATCTTTGTACCAGGTTGTATTAAGATAAATTTACACGTGCCAGCCACCTTGAAAGCAAATCATTCAAACAATGACAAGAAAATGAATCTGGAAAAATCTATCTGTCAGAAATATATATGAATTCTCATTTTCTCGTTTATCATTTTCTCGTTTATCATCTTGACAAGGAAACATTTTTCATATTTTAGCTGTTTCAATGACACTGACACTTGCCACTCTTGTCGACTTCCTTGAGCTCAATCAATTTATAGATGCAGATGCGGAGACGCCGACCGATGTATTGTTTATATTTAAACATTGTTGGCTTGCCATTTGCCAAAAGTGAAATATAAATATTAAAAAGTACGATTAAAACAATCAAAACACTAAGTTTATATTTTAAAATAGCAATTATATTTGTTTTCGTTCTTCAGGTTACAGAGGAGCATCACACCTAAATAACTGCAATAATACAAATGTGAGGCACACGCAGATCGCAAAAATGAAGAGTCTTCTATGTCGGAATGTACTTCAAGCATATGGACAGTATAGTCAGAATGGGAATACTTAACAACTCCGGATAACCAAGAAAAACTGCACTAATCCACAATGTGCTTATTATATGGACATCGCTTCAACATTCCCCTTCAAGAACATAGGCTATGCAAGAACATGCTCTAAGAGGGACACATTTTTTGCAAACACATCTTACTTTACAACTGCACAGGATTTGAGGTTATCGGGTTCACCACTTCTCCAATTGGTATCCGAATATCTAAGTTCATGTCCGTCCGTATATTTCCACAGAGTGCCATCCAACTGTGCATCAAAGAACACTTTGTTAGTGGAGGGAAGTACCGTCAACGCTGCAAAAACGTCAGCAACTCTTGTTTGTACTCCACTGGTAGCTAGTTTCGCCAACCGACCACCGTAGTTTTGGCAGTTTCCGTCAGCTCCTACATATGCGTATGTCGATGGTGCAACCCAATGAAACAATGGTTTGTCTTTGTCTGTTATGAGAATACAACAAAAATACTGTTAGTCATACATTAACACTTATATTTAATGACAGTAAAACGATGAATTTACGTTGTAATTTCCGCAAGAAAGCAGTTTATCAATATGTACTGGAAATATTGTTTTAATGTTTCATCTACTATTTCCAGTTTATAATTTTGTGGATTTTGTGTCAAAAATGATACTCGTAAAAATGAATTATTGTTAATATTATTTGATTACAGTAATTGTAATATATTATTATACATATTTTCTTTTCAAGGATACATCATGGGAATGCCGAAATCCAAAATGTTGAATCATCGAAATTTCTTTTGTGTGGAGTCCGGTGAAAGCCATGTTTGTTTTTATTACATGTATTAGACGCGCGTAATCATTCCATATTTGGAATTCGCATCTCCTAATATGGTAGGATGAAAATACCGTAAACTACCGCAAAGTTACGGCACGCTGTAACTGTAATCATTAATAATATATTCACAATACAGGCCGGAAAACCACATATTTGTTGTGAAGGAATTAACTATAAAAGGAGCTACATGAGTGTTTAGCATGCTATGTATTATTCAGGACGGGGGGGGGTACTCACATATCTCGCATATGGCGCCAATCGCTGAGGCTGGACTGCAACTATTATCCGTCATTTTGAAACCATTAGTGCGACTGTGAACAAATTTGAAATCAAGTAATTGATTTTGTCAATAATATATGTATTATCTATAGTCAGCTGACCCCAGCAGCACCCCCATTGGTGTTGTTAAGCAATGCAGAAGTTATGTCTATTACTTCCCCCACGTGCATTACTCCTCGCTTGCATGTATATAACACACTTATAGCACTTATGTTTTCAAATACAATCACCTCAAAACAAGACATTCGTTTTCATCTGTGTCTGGCTCGCCAGCATTCCAGTTCAAATAACCAGGGACTGCCCCTTGCGAAAACCACTGTTGGCCAGTAGAAGATTCACGTCTGGTAGCAAAATAAAACAAATCATTTGTGGTGTCTGGTGTTGCTACATCGTTTACAATACCGCTCTCTATGGACGAGTTACGAATATCAGCAATAGCGCCACCATGGGCGGTGCATTCGCTCTCAGCATTTTGGAAAGAGGCAACATCGACTGAGATATACTGGCCAACGTCTTCCCTGCCGGCAGCTGGAATTAACATAATGAAGTGTTAAATGAGCGGGGAACTGTGAGATTGTCTTTTCATATTCCAGTGCGAACCTAGACTTGAAAGTAAGTTTAAACTATTAGTATCATTAGAGTTAGTGCGACAAATATTCGCCGAAACCACACGCCATTAAATCGAGTTATATATGAATGAAGAAGATATCACGTACCATCACCGCTGTTAGTGCAATCTTCCCCAGATGGACAGTAACACGACTGTTGTGAATCGCATAGCTACGAACGTAAACGATGATATGTATGATTAAAATAAGAGTTTATTTGCAGGATAACTATGAAATCCACGATACAGCTATCAATAAAACAACATTGTCTAGTTTATATGTGTACATTCTATATGACTGGCCAGGGTCATATAAATGGCTGGCCATGTTCACTACACGCCCATCTTGATACCACTTTTCACGCTAATGAACACATTATATTGCCACGGTAAACCGATCTGCAATAGACGAGGTTTACACCCACCTGATTATTGCCGCATGTAGGCGCAGAATAACTTGGCAGTCGTCCCGTATTCTCACACACGGTTCCTAAGTGGATTCGGTTTCTTTTCAGGCACCAAAGCTGGCAGGTAAACTAAAGAATTGATAATTTAATTGTTTATTTATCGCCTGCAAAGCCCTAAATTACATTTCAAACAGTGTAACATAATCACGATTATTGTTAATTTTCATGTACTTGTATACTAGCCATGGTCAACGGCACATACATTTTTAAACAACTATTTTTATTAAAAATGCCTGATCTTACCGTGTCGTATGTGCGATGCCATGGGCATGCCTCTTCACTAAAATGCGTGGCGTGATCTGCGTATTCGACGTAGCAATCGTAGTTAAGCTTGTCCAGCTCTGTTGCCAGAGGTAGGTTGTTTATGAAACTGGCAGGATCGGGGTTATTCTCGAAGCAGCTTCCATCAATGGACCTATGAATACAATTGTGATGATACGACTTGTAGCGAAATCGGCAACATTGACCATACCGCGATTCGAAATTATATTGCATTGTGAGAAAGTGTTATCAGGTTTAACTAGGAGAAGCGTTCTGTGATTGGCGGAGATGATTCCGTCAACACTATCCCATAATGCACTGTGATTTGGATTCACTGTATGGTCTGCGGCTAACAAACATCTGACACTACAATTTCCTGAAATACACATACATTTCGTATCGCGCCCTCTTGCGGTGAAGCGATTTTATGACGTAAATAAATGATAACAAAAAACAGTCGAGGCATAGATCAATTTTTGATTTGTATTCGTCCATCGATGACGATTTTACTTCATTCTCGATAATGTGCCCTTACCAATGTACTTACGTCAATAGAGGGCGAACTTTATAAGCAGGGTGTTCTGGGGTTATTTTGTGTGACTTGTATTTGGTTTAGTCCGAAGGAAGATTGCAGCTTTTGAATCTCCGCTGTATGCATTAAATCAATTTAAATTGGTGGTTTATACTGCATGATTAAAACGAAAACCCATTATGGTACTACATGTACTTACGACAGGTACGCCGACGCCGCATCACGATTACATTCAGAGAAATGAAGTTTGTTGACGTCCGACAAAATACCTGGGTCAACACAGCTTGAGTTATCATAACCCATCCCGAGTCTAAAAAAAATACAGAATGACAAACGGAGAATAATAATCAGTGTTGAAAAACGTGTGCATTGTATTATCATCATCTGTAACGGAAATGTACAAGCCTTTTGTAGAAATGCAAGACTCGTAAACAGTATTACAACGGCAACAAACAAGCGTCTGGCGCCAACCATATTATCTCATGTATATTACACTGAATTATTTTCTGCAGCTCCATAATATGCAATACAAATCCCGCTAATCTGATTGGTCCATGGCAGCATTTTGAACTTTTGACGTCATGGCAAAATATCATGTAATACGGCCATCTTACTACTGTTATTAGTAATTATATTAAACTGGATATTTCTGGTAGTTTCAGATTTAAGCTAACACGCCCATATATTTGAGACGTCTTTTCAAATTGCTAGCCTAAATATATCAATATTTCTTAATCTCAGAGAGTAAATTAACATTCCTCGGTGCACATGAACAAAGATCCTCTACGCAAATTAGCCTGGAAGCTTTATGACGCTTTCACATATCTTACATGTACAACACTGCAGCGAGAGTTGGATGTCCGAATACAAGACATGCAATCAAGTTGATATGTTCTTAACTTACAACCTTGGCGTAATATTATTCGAACCGATGATAAAATTTAGATATTACTTACCCAAGTGCAAATTGGCGAGCGAGAAGTCTTGTCATGTGATCGTTGTCTTGGTATCTGATGGCAATCACGTGACTGTCTGGACTACATGCCTTGTATGAGGATACAGCATTGTCATCTCCCGAGTTTGTGATTGAGCTCCTGAACAAAGTTGAAAATTGAACATGAATAAGCAGAAAAATAATAACCTTATATATGCAAATGACCTCCTAAATCTCGCGAATGGGAAAGCCACGGAGACTTTATCTCCTGTGTCGCATTACCAAATATCATGCAGATCAGAGAACAGAGGGCACAGTGACGAGTGACAACAGTACTCAGATGCAAATATCGCGTCTCTCTCGCGCTGAACGAGATCTCAACGGCCAGTTACATCTATTGAATATCAAATGGATTTCAACAAACTGATTTCTTCCTCGAGTGTATTTTGTAAATTTCAAATATATCTTAAATATATATTAAATATATAACGTAAATATATATTGAGCGACGTAAGTTTAAAAAGGAAAACCGATTGACTAATTGATGTGGAAAGAGTAAAAGTACGAGGAATTATGAACTAAGAAAATGGAGGCAAGCAAAAACGAAGACACTCACCCTCCAATCACCATAGCGATGTCGTAGCTGTAGTCTGAATAAGTCGATTCCCAATCAAATACAAAAAATGAAAACAAGTCCAATATATCATCCCATGTCGATACACCAGCTTGGGTCTATTTAGTAAAAGTACAGAAATGAACACGACTCATTATAGGTAATGAAAGCAATATAATATTCTCGCCCCGTTTCGGAAATATTAATTCCCCAAAAAACAGTGTTTATACTCACCATTATTTGGTTATTCTCTATGGTAACAATTTTCACCACAATAAAATATATATTGAAACCATTTGACACTAAGCTAGAATGTTGGAACAATGCCTGTGCCTGTAAGAGAAATGCGATTCAAATTTATTTAAGACATATATTAGATGCAAAAAACAATAATAATGTATTATTGTTACGATTGTTACAAAAATCAACGTTTTTCCACATTTGGAGTGTAAGATTACCATATTAATTCGCATCAGGACATGGTCAATGGCAGCATCTCCAAATTCAGACCATACGTCATAATCGATGGTTGCCAGTAGTTCAACATACTGTGTATCGGGTGGGGTTCTCTTCTTTCGTGCTTGGCTCACGGTATCCACAGCTGCAAAAACAGATATTACCCGGGGGTAGGTCATTATTTTTCTATGTCAATTTAAAGAAGTGCGTCACATCTTCACAAGCTATACAACGTAAAGTGCAAAAACTATACTGGAATACTGTGTCGATTATTGGCAAAGGCTGATTGCTTTATTTCTGTTTGTGTGTATTTTATAGAGTGGTTTGTTCTGTCTAGTATGTGATGTGGTCGTTTTATTATATGTACAGAACGTAATTTTAGTGAATGTTATATATTTAGTTTTGTTTTAGTATCATATAGGTTCTTCTTTCGACAGTGAAGCAGTTCCTGGACCATTAGAAAAAAAAACAGAATAAAATGTTATTTGGAACAGGAACATTACCTTCTATGGCCACCATGTCGTGTGAAAGGTCATCTTCAACTTCAACAGCGGGAAACACGATATGCTCGTCGTTAAGGGTACTTGTGTTACTTCGAATTGTTGGTTCCACTTTTATTTCCTCACCATCAACAAACATAGAGCCGTACTACAATAAAATAAATAATAAAATAAATTATATGAATTATATGTTTATTTTACACCGTTTAGTTTATTAGACTGAAAAATTAAGCTCATTGCATCATTGGAGACTGACTGTCGATAAACCGGCTCTATTAAAGCCAACAGGTGTTTGTTTGCTTTTTATAACACTTCGTGGCTGTTTTTGTTGCATTTGACATTGAATCAACGTATTACTAACAACGAATGAAGTCCGAAAACAACTCACAAAGCCGTTCTTTTGAAGGAATGCGGCTTGTCCGGTGGCAATAAGCGTGCCATTGGTATCCTTCTTTTCCACGGTGCCCGTGAAATGCATATGGTTGTTATAAGGCAGATACTCTGTGGTGTCTTGGGTGGCTTGCTTGCGAAGAATTTCAGCACCAGGTCGGATCAGATCTACCAACATAAATATACGTATGTATACAAGGTTGTTTACCAACACCACATACAATATTATATTGCTAAAAAAAATCAATTCAGGAAAACTGACAAGTACTTACCTCTGTTGCGCTTCATTTTAACCTTGTATAAAATGCTCTGCGCATCTAGTGTGAATTTGACTTTGTATACACTTCCGGTCCAATCATCAATCAGTATGTCAGGGATTACCGCTTCATAATAATCAGCTATAAAAATAAACACATCAACGTCAACCATGTGCTGTGTTGTGTTGTGTTGTATTGTGTTGTGTTGTGTATTCTGCATTGTGTGTTTGAATTCATCTTTATACGTGACGTTGAATCTGTGTCGAAATACGTGAATGGAATAATTAATGAAATGAATTATTTTATTGAATAGTTATTGGTATGCGAGACTAAAACAAATCTACCGATTGTAATTGCCGAGTCTTACCATAAGTTGATCTTTTTGCAATATTGTGTCTTTCATTTTGATTCACATCCGACTGTAAAGTAAATAGAGAACAATGTGTGTAGTATTCATCATATTCTCCTGCACTTCATCGGGTACATAATACGGGTATATGTCTACCAACATTACGTCAACAGGGTACACCCAAAAGGTTCAAAGTAAAACACCCCACATATTTTTTTTTTTGTTTCTTTATAACCCCCCATCATGTGCAAGTATACGCTATACTCAGTATTGGTATTCATGTTCAACATAACATTTGATGGGACAATTCATGCATGTTTGTATCGATGTACGTCACCGTAAACTGTATTTCCATCTTTCCCAGGCAGCTACTGTGACCGACCAGTAGTATTAGACATTAAATACCGTTGAAGTCGGTTGTTAAGAGCAAAACCGACGCTCAGTCAGTGCGTTGTATTTTGTTGGTTGGTGTTTGCAAGGGAAAGCCAACGGCTGGCTTGCGCCGATAGTATTGGGGCGCTCGTCCACGTGGGTGTTATTTCAATGACGTCAGTAACACATAATTAATCAGAGTTATCGTTCGGCGATCATACTCAACTAGTCGAGACGTCTGAATGAAAATCTGTATACAATCACGACGTTGCATCAATCACCACTCGCAAATTCAATAAATAGAATTGTATGCCCAAGATATGTTACAATAAGTAGATAGCGTTACATATATCAATATTTTTGCTGGACTTGCGATAAAAAAAAGCACTTGGGTGGGAGCACCTATAACACTGCAATCCTTGTTTATCGCCAGATGATTATAGTTTTTTCACCCACGTGTAACAAGAGTTTCTTAACACCGCATCACATGAATGACATAGACATGGTTAGACATTTGAAATGCAAGATATAACATATTTACTCTTGCATTCATATTAAGTTGGTTGACAATTATTTATCTACACGAGGATTTGATGGAAATTGTTGTTAATCGGACTCACGCTATGATTCTGATGAGTTCGGTAAATAATACACCCAGGCGATATGTAGATACAGATATGAAAATTGCTACATTTTTCTAAGCGTGTGGTAGATGTAATCACTATTACAGCAGTGTCGACAACGGTTATTGGACTTGGTGATAAATTTAATCGAATATTGAGTCTAGTTGTATCCTCCCATACATTGGTATTTCCTTTAGAAATCATTGCAAAGGGCATTTGCAGAGAGAAATGGTAACTCTCAGGCATCGTCGAACATTGTTTAGATAGTAAGTTTCGATAAAAATGGGATGGTATGATTTATCGTGAACTATAAATAATGGTTTCACGCATAGTATTACTCGTTCACGGTAACGGATATAGATCTATAATACATCTCGTCATTATTTTATATTTGTAGTTAAAATCTACGTAGTTTCACTCAACCACACATAACGTTCAATTAGAGACTTTATATTTACTGTATGCGCAGATGCTGTTTCTGACTCGCGGCAAAACCAAGTCTTACTTTAAGTCAAATATTTGTTCTCATAAATGTTCCCGATTTTTATATCTCTCTATTTTATTAAAGTTTATTAGGACATATATCTATCACGTGATGTCAAAAACGAAACATAGAAAACATTTGTTCTGTACAAAGAAGAAAACAAGATGATGAGATAGGTAAGTTGCCGTAACTACAATATGTCATTTAGGCTACACAGTGAATAGTGTTGATCGTTTTGTTCATAGCGACCCGTCATTTTTATTTCTCTAGTTAAAAATAGGGACATGTTCTCACATTCTTAGTACCCAATTCGTTCATAATTGAACGACCTAAACGACCCCCAAAATTCATATTATAGATGGTTGAACGGTAGGTTTGTCAAATATATAATCCTAGTGCTCGGACTATTTTATCTCAGATCAGACTGTTCAGCCCAGAAGAATCATCAGGTTTTATCATATAATTATTTAAAAAATACTTTAGTCCAAGGTGGTGGTTTCCGACAATAAATGTGACTTCTCTCCTAATTTGTTGTTGCAAATGCTGATAGGTAGGTATTTTGCCACATTTACTGTATTCCAGACTTACGCGATTGTGCCTGATTGACTAGGCAATCCTGCCACTTAGAGTCAGATCAACCAGTCTGGGGAAATAGTTTGTTAGCTGACAAGACGTATCAAATTCCGTATAATGTATATATGATTCGCCTAAACAACAACTTTACCGGTGACCACTAGTATCAGTTAGAATGAGTTTTTTTTTTCGATTTTTGTGGGTGTTTTTCATTGGATATTTTTTTATTCTAGTTGAAATCTTATATATTTATACCACACGGTGGGAAAAGCCCACGCGTAGTTGTTTAGAGACGTTCGCAATGTTGTTCTGCCGCAGAAGAGATTAAAACGATCGTGTAACGGCGATTTGCCCACGAATATCGCTTCAGAAAATGCCCTGAAAGGCGTTGAAAATCATAGACGATATTTGATATATAGATACACATGGCATGCATATCAACGAATAGGATGTCTTACTATAACGAGAAAACGATTCGCAAAACCACAAGTATAAAAGGACACTTTTGGAGAACAACTCATTCTCAGTTTTCTAAAATTTCCTACCTTGATTGCGGGTATAGCTTCGCATGCCGACACCAATAATAATACCACCAACGATATCGGAAATGTCACCATGCCGGAAATCATCTTGAATCGTCCTCGATGGACGGCGGTGTTTTCTCTTGCTTTCCACTGCCCTTATATACACATTGCTGACCATATAATGTTCATTAAAACAAATCACGACAACACGACGATTTCCCCAAAATCACATCATTAACCAGCAAGATATTAACAATACTCGTCATTGAATATTGGTACAGTCTATTAGCGGACAGTATTGTTTGTTAGATTGCTTTTTTTATGATTGTTCAATCTCCATGCAATTATCTTTCAGATGATGCACAAATGCAGCATGTATTCTATAAATTTTATCTTAAACGTTTTGATAATTACTATTCATCTTCAATATGTTTTATGAAAAATGAAAAAATACTGTTGTCATGTCGTGTTTTGTAATGAAGTTTTCGGTGTTTTTCACCAAAAAAGAAACCAATTACTCTTATGACTAAAAAATACATTTAAACGTAATGAGCTTGTGAATATCGCTGATATTTTTACCTCAATTTAACCTTGTTATATTGCTTGAGGGGGTAAATTGATTTCCTGGTTAATGTTTGGCAAAAATAAATGTGAATATTTAATAACTCCCTTGTCATTGACATTTGGGGTCACTCACACAGCCGATGGTGCCCAGTATGAACGGGCTAAAAATCTCATCAACGATGCGTCTAGACTTTAATACATATATTCACAGAAAAGTGATTTTAACAAACTTGAAAAGTATGATTCTTATATATGATATATATAATTTAAAATGAAAACAAAATCGAAGTGATAGTTTTCCTGATCGCGTTAACACGTGGGATATTTTCTGTGAATCAAAATGCCGAATTGCTTTTCTGTATTTCTTGCATACTATGGTAACCATCGCGACACGTTTCGCTGCAGTAATACAATGTACATTGTGTTGTTCGTGCTTCGATATGCCAGGGAAATGTCGTGAAATTGTATTTTCGGTCGCCCGAACCCTGTGTGGGTGTGCCCTATACTAAATAAAGACGCAGTCACTGATGAACGCAATACTATTTTGAAGCCCATTAAGCCTGGTTCGTCGCTCTAAATTATTAAAATGCATTGCCTGTATTGTGTAGACAAAATACTAGCAAAGTGACAGTCACAAAGCAGTATAGTAACAAGGTTCTTGCTGCATTACTAAATCACGAACAAATGCACATTCAAACCAAATACAGCATTGAATCAGATTAGAAACAAATACAGCATTGAATCAAATTCAAACCAAATACAGCATTGAATCAGATTCAAACCAAATACAGCATTGCATCAAATTCAAACCAAATACAGCATTGAATCAGATTCAAACCAAATACAGCATTGAATCAGATTCAAACCAAATACAGCATTGAATCAGATTCAAACCAAATACAGCATTGAATCAGATTCAAACTAAATACAGCATTGAATCAGATCCAAACTAAATACAGCATTGAATCAGATTCAAACCAAATACAGCATTGAATCAGATTCAAACCAAATACAGCATTGAATCAGATTCAAACCAAATACAGCATTGAATCAGATTCAAACTAAATACAGCATTGAATCAGATTCAAACCAAATACAGCATTGAATCAGATTCAAACCAAATACAGCATTGAATCAGATTCAAACTAAATACAGCATTGAATCAGATTCAAACTAAATATAGAAGAATATGTGTCTCATTTCATTAGAAACGGTGGTATACCAGTTAGTATAACACGTTTAGTAACACGTTTAGTAAAAATGACGACAAATCGACAAAGTGGAGAGTCCCCACTTTCCCGCAATAGTACGAGAAACACTAAAAATATTATTTACAGTAATATTCATAAATTTGACGTCATTCATAATAAAATCTAATAAAATAGATTTAGTACTGTAAATTAGATACTGAAGGGTTTGTTTTTCTATCCTCTCTACAACGTTAGAGACATGTCATCGCCAGAAAAATAAAATCTATGATGACAATCATTAGAATTCGAAAAATACATTAATGACTTTATTGTAAATCTAAAGAAATGAGTCTGTGGAGAAATACATAAGAATCCTGTCCATGGCATCAACACATGATTTCGCACATCGCGGGAATCATGACGCCATTATTCACCGGAGATTGAATAAAAAAACTGCCACGATTTGAACATGTTACCCTGTTCATTGGGGTTACGACCGCAGCACTAAGTGCAATTGTGCTGTGCTGTGCTGTGCTGTGCTGTGTTGTGCTGTGCTGTGTTGTGCTGTGCTGTGCTGTACTGTGCTGTGCTGTGCTGTGCTGTGCTGTGCTGTGCTGTGCTGTGCTGTGCTGTGCTGTGCTGTGCTGTGCTGTGCTGTGCTGTGCTGTGCTGTGCTGTGCTGTGCTGTGCTGTGCTGTGCTGTGCTGTGTTGTGCTGTGCTGTGCTGTGCTGTGCTGTGCTGTGCTGTGCTGTGCTGTGCTGTGTTGTGCTGTGTTGTGCTGTGTTGTGCTGTGTTGTGCTGTGCTGTGCTGTGCTGTGCTGTGTTGTGCTGTGTTGTGCTGTGTTGTGCTGTGCTGTGCTGTGCTGTGCTGTGCTGTGCTGTGCTGTGCTGTGCTGTGCTGTGTTGTGCTGTGTTG